CCGAAAGGGGCGACAGGGCGATTATGACACCAGGCGCCATCCCTGATATCTCCACTGGACAGCAATGGCTGCACAAAGGCGGCCAAATAAAATGCCTACAAAGTAGGTCTTTAGGGGAGGGATCGCCTTGGTTCAGTCCATTGACAAGCCCAGTAGAAGGTTCCAGGAGTCAAATAATGTGCCAGGTATCACGCAGGTAACCGAGCGAAGACTCTGTGAAGGGGTGGGGAATAGCATAGCCTGTTATACCTACAGGCGTAGAAACGACACTTGGCATCAAAACTTGAGAAGTCACTCGACTTGTACCAGATACTTGACGGAACTACTTGGCTTGAAAACGTGAGAGAGAGCACTACACTTGACTCGATTTGATCAAAGACACTCGACGTATGCACTTGGTGTCAGACACTTGGTAATTGCGTAGCGGAAACAATCATTCGTCTATGTATGACTGGCCAGCACCTGCCAGTCTGAACTGTTTGAGCATCTCCCAATTGTTAAGTTTCAAGTAATCAATTCCGTCCTACGGACCAGTCAGATCCTGGTCTGAAAAACATCTGCAGAGGAGCCCAGCTGGCCATATCGGCGCCTGGACGCGGGGAGGTGGATTTTGAGGGCATCGCCCAGCGTAATGGCAACCGTTAACCATCGCCATGTGAAAGGACACGGACTTCCGCCGATCTACTGAGCGCCTGTAACGCGAGAACGAGACTGAGTTCGTGCCAAGCGCGTGTCTTCCTTCATCAGAGCTTCGCTAGCACCTCGCAACCCTGACTGCGCCAGAAACGCCCCGCGAACGTGCAATTTTACCGAAGCGACGTAACATCAGAATAATTATCATGTGGTATGTCCATATTCATGAATCGATTAATATTCCTTGACAGAGAAAAGCCTAGTAGATAAGTAGCGAACTTTCAATTGAATTAGCTCATTCCATTTTAAATAAATATGTCACTGCTACTTTGACAGGTAATACTTAAAATTACAACTGTAATATATTATTCAAGTAGAGGGTAAGCAAATTGCACCCCTTCGACCTAGAGAAGCCCAGTCTTGAGCTTCTCAACGCCGGAGCAGGATTGCAGGTTTAAATACGCTTGGCGCTCATTTGATTAAATATTTAGCGTGTGCGGTCTGCAATCCATTACATACCAGCGCACTCCGTGTTTGACTGTATCACGACCCATTTGTGATGGCTAGTCATCGGGTCATTACAACACAATTAGAAGAGTTAGCAGGGTAAAACGATTTATACTTTCTCGCATACGTGAGATATGTACGTGAAGTAATATGCGTAGTAAAATTCACTTAATGGTTTTAACTGAAATAAACATGTTTTGGGGTTCTCTGTTTCCGAAAAGATTATTTTTCAAAAGTTCGTTTACCCGTGTCCTTGTCCGTCGGTTTGTCTAAGTGCGCCTGTATCTTTGATGTCTGCGTCAGCCTCTGCCCCTGATTATATGTTTGTGTTTGTCTGGCACTGTCTCTGCCTTCCTGTCACTCCGACTACCGTCTATGGCAAGGAAAAGGAAAAATCGAGTAGTCCTTCGACTCATTACTCAATGTTAAGGAGTACACTTTCCTTTTATGACAATGTTGGTATAACAAGATTAAGCAATTGCTTCAGTTTTTGAGGAGAAAAAGTGAAGGATACAAAGCGAAGTAGTTCGAAATAATTTGAAAAGAAGGCGTACATAATTATCTAGTATTAATAACAATTTTTTTACAGTACTAGTCTGGCAATGAAATTCTTTGCTACCGTAGTAATCAAGCGCTTGTGCGGTAAAGTACTTAATTAAAGAAACTGAATGCGTCATAAAGTTTCAATTTTCCTATGTGAAGTGGATAAATAAATGCTCGAAGACATTGTTAAGCCCGGACACAATTATGTGCAAATATGCATGAATGTTACATGTGGCTTGAGATAAGTAGCAACGTTGAATATTCAGAGTCATGATGAAAATCAACTTCCATTTTGGTAACGTAATGTTCAAATACAGAAATAAGTGGTTGCTAATTATTTAACCGCACAAAGGAAGGGTAGTTGCTTTCTCTAAGGGCTTCGTAGGTTGTCTTTCGTCCTCGTTACTTTTGAACCACTCAATGGAATTGGATTTTAATAACACCCATGTATACACGGAGAGGCAATATGAAGATATGTAGTCCTTGTACAAAATCAATATGTTGGATAACAGCAACAGTATTAAAAGATAAAACGTCAAATAAACTACAGAAATTAAACAAAGCTTTTCTTTAGTGTGACAAAAATACGTGTAAGAAATATTAAGACAAAAAGTTCTAATAATCTAAGGTTTCTTATTAATTCCATTCCCTGTTAATTATTAACATCAGCGACGCCACAGAAATAAATTTCGACTGCGTCATTAGTGATGCAGATGGGGATGAATAATCAAATATAAACGAAAATAATAGTTCAGTGAGATTTTTGAAGGGGTTTAATGTTCTAAGATCATTTATAGAACTGGATTGGTAATGAAATTTGGTCTAACTGTCTCTTTTTATAATTACACTTGTCTACAAAAATAATTTTTTTCTTTCACAATATTGAAAATAACACATTCTAGAAGTATTTTTATATTGAACTCAAATATCATTTCAGTTTTCCTCATTAGGAAGCAGTTTTGGATGATATTAATTTTAACTTTTTATCGTTTTTAATCAAATAAGTAACTAGTTATCTAACTCTGAATGGTATACTACTGTCTTTGTAACAACTTATTCTGTACCTAGAGAGTCTGATGATTATCGGGTATATTCTGTATTTGAAACACATTTCTTCTTGGTCCAACAGTAGTCAGCCAAGATATTACAACTACAATTGCCTTAGTCCCCCGTTTCCATGGTAGAAATGCACTGATGAAAACGCTAACCGTGCTAATCGCTGACAGCCTCAAGATTTTCCCGGAGTAAGTGTAAGTCAGAGTTTAAGAAATTATTTTTCAAAGACGTGTTACGTTCCATAGCTTTATAAGAATTTAGAAGATCAGCTACAATATTCAATAGTTTCCAAGGAAATTGCAATATAGAGTTTGTAAGACTGCCAGTCTGCTGTTTTCAGTGAATTTAACAGTTCAAAATGTTCATTACTCATTAATAACTGAATAAGTAAACCTAAAAAATCCCTTCTTACAATTTAGCATCACTGACGTTGGGACATTTTGATTTCAAGTACATGAATCAATAAGAAAGTTCATTCATAGATTTTACAAAATTTTTCATTCCTCCTAATTTAACATGCAATAGAGATAAAAATAATATTCAGGATTCACTAAATGGACACACTCATTTTTTGGTCAGGGATACGAGATTCTTTTAATTCTCGTATTTGTCAAACAAATAGCAATCAGTAGATGATAATTCGGTTCTCCCCAAATCATAGGAATTCCAAATGTAATTTGTGTACCATTTTTCCTCACTTTTTCGCAAGTGACTTTAAATTTTGCCTCTGAGTCTTTCAAGTAAGCTCATCTCAAATAGAGCGGATATTATCTGCATGATTTATACACTATCTTGGGATGTTGATAGTACAAATCACTAAAATACAGCTTACAATGTACACTTCTAAACACAAAGGAAGTATATGTATTACTCTTGATATTCGGTCTAACAATCTCAAAGCCAGACTAACTGGTCTGAGTATGTCAAAACATGAATGAACGTGGATTTTGTCTGGTAGTGTTTCAGCATGATATTATATATAATTTCCTTGAATTCAAATTGATTAAAATCAGTAGATATAAGGTAAAGTACGATAAAAGGCGATAATCTTGTCCGTGGCCAATTTCCTCTGTGACGCTGTGGTTAAAAACATTACACAAAAACAATAAAAAACAAACCTTCTACACAATAACAAAATAATCTAAATCTAACATTCACACATATTGCAAAAATATTTACACTATTCTTTTATTCATACCGTGCACTGGTCATTTTGATGGCCATGGACATTATTTCAAGCACTACTGAAATTACATTGCATTATTTGGCCTTCTTATAAATGTATTCCATGCGCGCAGGTAACGTATTCAGAATGTGCTCTTCCCTGAATGTGATAGCGTTGCCGTCGGCTTGCTAATCCGTCCCATTCCCCATTTCAACATAAAGTTTAATCAGCTACACATCCATTTCCACACATCCTATTAAATGCGATAATTCTGGCTCCCAATACACCTTCTCTCTGATAACAGTTCACTCTCCGAAAAACACTAACTTGCTAGCACATGTCGGCGCGGAATTTTCATCCACCTGTGTGTCCTTTCCAGACAGTCTAGTCTTTCGATTCTTTTTCAACCCTCGCTTTCCTCTGTCACCGAAATCGATTTTGGAACATTTGATATTTGCGTTACTTCTATTTTGATTTGGAACTTTGAAGAGAATCTGAAAAAAACTAATTTGCCTTTTAATTTGCCGCTTTCCCCAAAGTGTATTGCCCTCTGGTTCACCTGATTTTTCAAAATTCCATCTTATTTTGAAAGCTACGTGCACCAGTTGCCTATATTCTATTGTCTTTCGGTGTATCTTTCTACCTCTTGAAGTTTTTCTTCCAAATTTTTGTACTCCCTTTTCGAAATGTTTCCGGATGGTTCTCAAAATTGTTTATTTTCCTAACACTTGTTTTCTTTCTCGAAAGTTCCCCTGTTACATAACGAGAATATAAAATTCGGTTCCGCGTTTACGTTGTCACTTGTTTCTTCTTCTTCTTCTCCCGACTATTTTACTAAACAATTCTTTTCTAAAATAATAATATTTATTTTCGTCAGTTTGTTGCACTGAGGTTCTGCGTACGGTTACACTATAAACTGACCTTATTATTGTGTTTAAAATAAATAACAAGTGTCTTACTTTACTCTGTTATGCGAGGAGTAAATAATATATTCTTTTATTATTCACATTTCGTGAAAACGTTTAATAGTGTGGAATAGTTTGATCAATTTGAACTAATTTATTTTCTAATAAATTTGTACATAATGTTTTAATAGAAAAAATCACTTCGTTGTTTCGCTGATGCCCGGCGCAATCAAGACGAAGGATACCACTTACTGGAGTCAAGTGTGCGTGTCAACTTCAGGAAGTGCAATATCTTCACAAGGATGAAGTTCTCGACAACGATGGTTCGAGTGCCTAAGTCTTCCCTTTTATCAAAGAGTAAACACTTTTAACTAAAATTCTAGTGTGTTCTTCGGCTTAAGAAGCATTTTCTGATGTCGAATAGTTCCACTTACCAGCAACTGAAGGCATCAACTTTGATAACATAATCATACAAAACCTTGACATCTTTCGCATTTTATTACCTTATGTGAGTGAAAATGAAAGAAATGTTATCAACCACAATGATATAAATTGTTTTTAAATAAAATATATTGTTAAGAAAACTAGTTTTGAGAAATTTTCATCCCTTCATTGATTGAAGGAACATTCTCGTATTGTATAACAAATATCAATATTGTCAACAGTTCAGTATACTTGACTGTTGTATATTAATCCGGAGTGCACAAGATGTGTTTCTTGATAATTATATATATATATATATATATATATATATATATATATATATATATATTTCTTTGTAACCTATTATTTTTGCATGATGCAGCGTATTGAAACTATTTGCAAAAAGAAATAGGAGAATAGGTGGTTAATGTGTCGTGATATAATATATGAAATATAATACAGAAAAACGTCTTTCAATATTGTCTTGGTAGAAAACAAATGCATGGCATTTAAACATGCAATCTCAGATCAATGTAAAATAAGGCTTTGTGTCCAGAATAAACGGGTTCTTAACTGGACGGGAGTTTTCGCGTTTTTAACAGATCTATGACTAGCCATGACACTACATCGCTAAGACAAATGGATAAGAAATTTTCGCATACGGTTTTATTCCAATTAATAATCACAAACAGAAAGAATATTTGATGATAACTGATTGAATTCGCACTATATTTATTAGATAAACATTTCTTTAGTGAAATAAATTATTGCAAAAAAGTTATTTAAATTTCATTAAATATTAAGGATCAAATGAACGGTTTTTGTGTTTTTCATTTATTGTCATGTAGATGCGCGTAAAATGTAAATTTTCTCTATTCAACTATCTTACTTGCACAAAGAAGGAAAATGTATATTTGATTTGAAAGTTAAATAGCCGCTAATAGAATATTTCTAACAATATTGTCAGAAGTAATTTTGAATTTGCTTCTTCCCCAACTAACAATACATACAGTAAATATGTTGGTCTTGACCTTGTGTTATAAATATGTGAAGAAACGTGAGGATAGGTCAGTAAAAGTCTGTTTTTTTTACAGTGCCAACGTTTTGATCATTTATTTGCCCTGGTTCAGGGATGTTGTGATACTTTTCTTACTATAGTTGAATTGGTAAACAAGTTTTTCAAGACCATACAGTTAGCAAACATGATTAAAGACAGCGTTCTTGTTTGGGGAAGCAGCAAAATTTTATAAATTTATACGTAAGATATAAAATAATGTGTCACAAAGTTCTTGAATGTTTGTGAATATTGTCTTATTAATTTTATTAATGTTAATGTTTCTGCTGCGTCTTTGAGATTCCTCAACGGTGAATAGTTCAGGTAGTACAACATGAATATTACATACCATCTGTGATAGTGCACGTAAGGGTAAGTGTGTGTAAGTAAGGCTGAGGATAGGGTAAGGAAGTGGTAGGAAAGATCGCGCGCGGTCCGTAGCGCGTTTGTTAGGATTCTGTTCTGGCCTTCGCCTGGTATTGATCAGAGAAACCACAGAAAACTAGCGATCAGAGCTTGCCTGCCTTAAAGCTATTACCTCTCCTTAGTTGTCTAAATTATGCTCAAATGGCTTCCATAAAAGTCAAAAAGTACTCGTGTAACAAAGAAATATCATCGACCAAATACTTTATCAGTAATAAGTTCAATGGGGCATTTACTTCTGCTGTATTTCCTCCTCTACATCCAATATCGATAAATCATTTATTGAATTGACTCTTTTTTGCTCTGCTGCTTGCACCAATTTCTCACAAACTAAAGGTCAAGAGGCTTTAATTTCGAAAAGGACAAACGATTCCAAGTAATCGGCAGTTATCCGCTCTGATACGTTTTTCCGTTCCTCGGAAGTAAGTCTTACATTCACTCAGTTTTCTGCGAACAAATTGTTGGACCTCGAGAACTGTTCTTGAATGGTAAACATATTTCAGATTGTTTTTAATTACTCTTGATTTTTCTAAGTAAGTGTCCAAATATTGTCTTGAATTAATACTTTTAACTAATAAACGGAGGCCATGAAACATTTCAAAAATTATCTGTTTATTAAGGAGATTTTAAACAAAGTACTAGGTTTTTAGTATTCTTACAACCGTTATATCACACCTACGGACGATATTTTGTGTACTCTTATTGCAGCTTTTATTCCGGACGAATAAAGCTGACGATTATACCAAAACCATTACCATGGAGTTACGTCTGTCACGCAAACTTTAAACGATGTCACAAGTAGCGTAGTAAAACTCTTAAGATTATTACTGTTCACACTATTGAAATGCAGAAGTCTTTCTATAATATTATACAAGTATTCTAACGTAATTAAAACATGAAGCAAAGTGTGTAACATGAACTTATCAATGGAATGAGATCTAAGTAATTTTTACGTATTGTTAGGCGCTTCAAAATACTGGAACTTACCTTCAGAAAAAAAATCAGATCTGTTTGTCTTTTTCCTTTACTGTGTTGTTCGCACGCTTCCCAAGCCACTTCTACTGCTTCCAAACACATTCATTTGTTTGCCCTAGTTGATTTAATAAATAAATGACGGCGTACGTCTACCCTCAGTGAGCAGTGTGTAAATATTTATTCACCATCTCATGTACATTAGTGGAATTAAATTTGCTCATCTCGTAACTTGTTCCTTCAAACCAACGTTTACATGTACAATTCACCACACTAAAGCTCGGTACTTCTGATGAAAAGCAAATTGAGAGAAGCAAATAATAACTTTTTTCCTTGAGAATTAAACAATTTAGCACAAAACGGGCCTTTCTTTGTATTTATGACACTCATTTATTCGTATGAGTTATGAGTCGTTTAAGCTGTAACAATATTCTACAAAGCACAATTAACAGCTCTCCGCTCTACATCCAGAACTAATAAAATTTAACTCGAAAATTTTAATGCTGGCTGTTCAATAGTGGATGTGCTAGATGTTTCTGAAGTAACTTGATGCAGGAAGGAGAAGGTAACCGACAAACTAATTATTGGAGTAAGTAAAGATCACTTGTGAAAAAAACAGATAGAAATAAACTGTGCTTGCCCCATATTGATTTTGGTGGTGATGGTGGTGGTGGGGGCAAAAAAATCGCATAATCTTCAATGGTCTGCGTGGATAAATGAAAATGTTTTTAGATGTTCTTCGAAACCTCGTTGTTTTAATGATCATTTGATAAGCAATTGAAGATGGATTCATTTAAATACCCACATCTCATTAAAACGTTTGAAAATTACCGAATCTAATTCTATCTATTATGAATAAAATAAAATGCTGCTTCATATGTTTAACTCTGTGAGATCTGTAATATAACTAATATTTTGTTATATAATACGGATAAAAATCAACGTTTTTACACAAATTAACAGATTTTATCGAATTAATAAAGGGATCTGATTCACCTTTCCTAGACAATATATGAGACTTTAACACACATTATTGCAAAAGCTGAAATCCATTCAACGAAAAAATTCATAAAACACTGTGCGGATTTGGCGCACTTAAAAGCCATTTCTATTCCAACTCTATTCCATTTCCATTGCAGCGCTCGTGTCCGGATTCTCTTAGGATTTTACTTTGAATGTAACATCTTTGCGTTATTCATGGAGGGATGTTTCTTTTGAAAAAGCCTCGCCAACAGAGGCTTACCGCCCGGGCGCTGGGTTAGAAAGCTTAGAACGCGCGACTTGCTTTGAGCGTGGGCGCACAGTGGGGAAGGCGATCGTCTGCTTCCAAGGGAGAAAGGGATTCAATTTTTCTGCGAAACTGCTTGCTCAGACACGTCGTGTTCCACGTATCGAGAGAGAAATTCAGAAAAGTTTAGTCGGTTGTTCACATGTTTTTCTCGCTCTGAATTTGCATTTCCAAATCGATTTATTTGATCAAAAATGCTTACATTGTATTTTTTAAATTCCGAATATGAAATATTTCAAATAAATGGTATGTTGTATAAATTGTATTTGAAATAAGTTATACGAAGAGTTGTATTTTGATAATAATTCACATTGTAATTTTAGCGACATTTCTTCTCTTGGGAGGTTGATGATTCCGCGAAGCCCCCTACAGGAATTGTGTCGGCAACCCACAACACAGACGTGTTAGTCGGAAAGTCTTCTGTGACATGACGGGGAGATAGTTTTACTCAGAGCTACTCCAATGATGGAATTCGGCACTGACTGCCCACGGTGGCCATTGCAGTTACCCGCGTGCTACTCTCCTTTCCCTAAAGTAGAGCAGGGCGCCCTTGCATTTATTCTCCCGGCGGGCTGACTTGACAAGCAGCAGGTCACATAGGTTTCTCGCAGAAGCAGATTTTTGCGAATAGGGACGCTGCGATGAAACGCCCTGCTGCAAGTTAGATTGAAATGCAGGAGAAAAATGATTTCGAAAAGTAATGACAATGACATATTGTTACGAGAAATGAGAAGGAATAATAGTAAACAATGAGTTCGTACGCTTCCGCGGCCGTGAGTATTCTTGTATATCCGGGATGAGCCGCGTTTTCAGAGCTATCAACAGTAGCAGAAGACCGCAGCAAGATGGCCGAAACGTCAGTCCAATTGACCGAGACGCGGCTCGTCCCGGATAGCCAAGAATACAATAGTAAAAAATGCTGGAGATGTAAAATGGAAATTACTTATTCACTAGTAAAATGTGGCGACGCCGACCCTCTAAACTGTACTAAAATAGTTTCAGGTAGTGAAAATTATTCATTCTTCATTTCTTACATGCTTAGCTTTTTACAAATATATCTTTTCAGTATATGGCATTGGATTTACCAATGAATCGTAGTAGATTATGATGTTATACTCACGTTCAAAAGTTCCCAATGGCCTAGAATGTTACCTCCATTGAGAAGAAATGCATATCATTCCCAATTAGTTTCGAAAATTCTGTCGCAACATCTTTTACAACTACAAATATTGATTTTTCTTCAGGTTTGCTTAACTCTTCCATATTTTCTCCAATAATTTTTGAAGAGATTAAAACTTTACAAACTCAGTCTAATTTGTGTTCACTTCCACTTCTGCAATTGAAAGGTTGGATGGAAGAAGAGCGTAATTAAGAAAACACAGTTTTGAGATAATCAAGGAAAACTGTGTACAAGCTGTATTTCT